CTCTCTCTCTCTCTCTCTCTCTCTCTCTCTCTCTCTCTCTCTCTCTCCCTCTCTCTCTCTCTCCTTCTTCTCTCCTCTCCTTGTCCCGCCCCCTTCTCTCCCTCCATTCCCCCCACCTTGTTTGTCTTTGAAGGACAATTTTCCTTTTAATGGATTTGTAGCCAGGGACCTTGTAGACTGTTGCCTCGCAGGAGCCGGGAGCAGGCCTCCATCCGCATCAGGCTGAATTCAATACTAGTCTGTGTTCGGTATCTGGACAATCAAAGCTGACCACCCCCCCCTACAGAGTCTGGGCTCCGCCGGCGCCCCCTCCCCGTGGGGATGGGGCAGGATTCCAGTACTTTCCGCAGGGGTCCTGCCGTCTCAAAACCTCTGAGGCACACGTGGGGAGGCTGTTTCTTTGGGGTGTGTTACAAGAAGAGGTCTTTAACCTTCATTGAGTCGCTTTGGGTTCAGACCCTTCTAAACAAGCCAGAGGAGGCCCTTCATCCTCATTCCCTTGCTCCCCGACCCTGTTGGCTTTATTCTTTCCCATTACACGGATGCTCTGTCGGCCTGGTCTCAGCTACGCCAGAGCTGCTGAGGTAGATAAGGCTAGGAATGTGCAGCACGGGGCTTCTTAGGAATGTTTTGCTACTTCCCTTTGGGTCCCCCACTCCCACCCCTCAGCTCCAGCTATGGACTGAGATTCACTTATAACTTGTAGAGTTTGGGGTTTGTTTGGCTATGTTTATTCTTGAAGGGAAAGCGCCCGTATTACCCCCCCCCTTCACCTCCCTGCTTAGGGCATGGATTTCTCCTATCCTAATGTTTAACACTTTTGACATGTATCATCCTATCTTTTCCTCATTGATCAGTCTCCATTGTCTGTTGATTGGAAGCCTAGGACACTAGCACCTGGAAATATAGACCCCAGGCTGCTTCAGGGCTTCCCTATCCTATCCGTTTTTGTTTGCTCTTGTTTCAACACTTCAGGTACCATCATGGTGGTTTTCAGAGACTGAGATGGACTGGACATAGGTAGAGTCCCAGTATCCGCTTCTTTTATATGGAATCCTTGGTCCCTAGGTCTTTGTCTCTGGAGCTTATTGTCAAATCAGCAGCAGCAGTTAGCTCCCTAGGAGAGTAACAATGCTAAGGGGGAAAGTCCTCCTCCTGATTATTCTCAATCCTGGGAGATCCAGTCATCCCTTCACTGTGTTTGCCCCTGACCTTTCAAAGGCACAGCACAAAAGATCAGAAAGTGAATTAAAGCATGAAGAAGTCTCACTCTTGATGCATACAAGGTAGCAAGGACTTGCATGGAGTCTTCCTTTCCCATCTGCTTCCCTTAGATACACTGTTGATGAGTTTGAAGGGAGTGGGGTCCTGCTAAAATAAATACCCCTGTAATGGGGGACAGACTGGAGTTGGAAGTGGAATTTCAATTCTAAAGAATGCAGATAGGAAGTGAGAAAACCAGAGGCTTGTAGAAGGGCTCAGTGCCCACCCCACCCCCACCCTGACGCCCCTGCAGACTGTTTCTGCACCTCTAGGAACTAAGCAGAAGCAGGAGGCGAAGGGAGAGAGGAGAGGTGGGCTGTGGGTAAGTGTGTGCCTGTGGGGGTAGGGAGCTATAAGCCGACTATGTGTAGATGCGCCTGTGGGAGAGAGCCCTTGCTACTATTCCATTGGTGCATTGGGGGGAACCTATTTTACAGGAAAATTTCTCCTCCTGAAGGGGAAGGTCATAGTGGTCCTTTGAGCCTGAAATCGAAAGACCCCCTTCCCCCTCCTGGTCACGTGATTCATTAAATAATTAATGCCGAGGTTGCAGAATAGATATGTATTCGTCAGGAAAATCGCAGGCTCGGTCTCCCTGTTTCTGACGTCCAATTCAACTGTCCTTTGAAAAACAAGCCTGTACCCTGAGAAAAAAAAAAGAGAGGGA